CCGAAACCTGACGCCATTTGTACCATTTGGCTTCACTTTGTAGATGATCTTGAAGGACGACTCAAGTGGAGCTACGTGGCGTGAGTTCACCAAATGCTCGAGAGTTGAGCTAGTAATTGTCTTACACGGTTAGCAAGGGGGACAATGCAAGACAATTACTAGTTCAATTCTCCAGGATTTGGTGAACTCAGGCCACATAGCTACCAGAGTCGTCTTTCAAAATCATCTATATGGTGAGGCCAAATGGTACAAAGGGCGTCAAGTTTCGGCTTTTATGTATGGCGGAGGCGCTGGCAATTCCTCACCACAACCCTGAATTCTCTACACAGAAAAAGATGTCCAGTCTCTTATTCTACCCTGGTCTTAACCTCTTCAATAGTCGTTACCTGTAAAAAAAAAATTTGATTGTGTTTAATTTTCAATTTTACGTTTAGTTTACTTTTGCTTCAATAATTAATTCACCATTATCGCTGTCATATGCTCCTTTTGTACATTTCACACTTGTTAAATTGACACTGAACTACTACCTTTATTCTCACTCAATAGCCATTTTAATCTTATCGAATTTCTATCTTTGTGCCATCGTTGAGTACCACGTAATTAACAACTTTTTGTTTTCATTTCTGAAGCCACTTCTGAGTAATTATATCAATTATGTCACCCTCCCCCCCCTATTGCTCAATGATAGACTACTAAATGTGTTTTTTGTAAGTATAAATACGACTGTACAGCCAGTCTGTGAAGATGATTTTGTCGATAAAGAAACTTTTCTTCGTTGAATCTGTCTTTTATTGTCTTCATGACTTCTGAATGGGTATTTTCGGTGATCTGAACCAGCTTAATCAGTATGTTCAAAAGAAATTTGCGCAGCCTATTTCTTTGCTATGGTCAACTATATAATATGAATTAAGTTTTTTAAAAACAATTTTCCCTCCCCTTATAAATATTAATTGACTTTGTTAATTTTTATAATCTTAGCTAATTCTTCAACTTCACAAGTCATTTCAGGGAACAAATACTTCCTCGTGTTTCAAAAAACTTTGAAGGGGATTTTGAAGTCACCATTCGCTGAATGGAGCTCATGGATTTTAACCCCAGCCAGGTAACTTTAACTTTCCTATTCATCTATTCGTTGAATATATTGATTGATAAAAAAAAGAAGTGAGGCCATTGAGTGAAGCTCGAATTGAAAAAAAAACAAAACAACAACAACGAATTAGACCTTAGTCAGAGGGATCGCTTAAGAAAGAAATCAGAGCTTATAACCACCAGTTATAGAGTTAGTTGAGAAAGAAGGTCCGTTGAAAACAGTGTGAAATGAGAAGATGTGTCGATGCAGATTTTAACTCAGTTTCAGCATAACACTTCGTATAGAAATGCAGCACGTGTAGCACACAAAAGAATGAGATAAAAGAGATTCATAGAACTATAACAATCAGAGTATCTGAAAGATTGAGAACAATTTCCAGCTATACAAACTAATCAATTGGAGCCATTTGGCTGTATGAAACGATTATTTTAGATGATAACTGAGTGACCAAGTCAGAGGCGAAAGAAAACAGCAGAGTTTTAAGTAAATTTTTTCTAACAGCATTGATAACATTGAAAATCTCACGTAAACGGTATAGGTCACACCTTCATATATACTTGCTAATGAGATGTATGTCGGATTATCTAAGTCAAACGAAAAGTTGTAGGCCAGGCCTTAGTGAGTGACATTCTCAAATATGTTTGATTCATTTAACATCTATATACATGGACTTAAAACCTTAACTGTAGTCTGTATATGCGTACACGTTAATAATTCATGGCTGCCAGGAAAAACAACCATCTAATATTTAGCTATAAGTGTACCACGATGACGAATTGTTTATCTGGATATGATAGATAAGATTTGTAGGTTCAGGTGGATTATTTTGCTGTGGTTGTGTTCTCTAAGTTGGATAGTTAATTTGCGAAGCAACATCTTCACCGAATACTTCAATTTGATGAAAAAAAACGTTTCGATTTCTCCACGAGTTTATTATTCATCACTCCCGGTGGGTTGGAAGTGATTGATTGTTTTTGTATGTTTTCATACCTTCTAGGCGTCTACTTGTATTGGTATTAGTGTTGATTGTTTCGTTGACCTGAAGTCGGAACCTTTATGAGATTTCTTTCTTATCAATTAGCAAATTTTGTCTATTTCAATGTGTCAATTCACTGACGATTGAAATGGAATATCAAGAAGCCTTCTAAAAATTCTCTAGCATTATTGATGTTTCTTCTGTCTAATATTTGAACACTAATTGTCCCATTTGAATTATTGTCCGTGGTTGCCTGTATGCAGTGAAGTGATATGAATGAGGGAGTGGATGTGATATCTTTTGACGGTTAGATTATGTCCGTGGATATGAGGACGAAGGGGACGTCCACTTTGACCAATGTAGTGTTTTTTCGCAGTTGCTACAATTTATTTTCTTGATGATGCTGGTTTTATCTCCTCTCACTGTTGAATCGTTTGGTTAATATAGAAGTGAGTGGATTGATTTTATTGGTTTGTATGCGGCGTCAATTCCTAATGGTTTGAACAGTTTTCCAGTGATTTCTGGGATATTCTTTCTTTTATATGGTAGGGCGAATCTTTTTGTACTTCCCTGGAGGGCTTTTGGTTTGATAGGTTGGCTTGGGGGTATCTTTCTTTTGATGAAATTCCATGGATATTCATTCTTTTTGAAGATGTCCATGAGATAACTTTCTTTAGTTTTTCTTAGAGATGATTTCATCAAAAGGCATCTACTATCAAGCCAACCTACCTACATACAGACAACCACGGAAATCATTTCGACTGGGACAACTAGCATTCAAATATTAGACAGAGAAAACACCAAGAATGCTAGAGAATTATTAGAAGACTGCCTGGTATCCAAGTGAATCGCCAATCAATCGACACATAGAAATAGACAAAATTTGTCAACCGATAAGAAAGAAACCCCACACACACAAAGGGTCAAAGTTCAAGTCAAAGAAACAATCAGTTCCAATACAAGTAGCAGTCTAGAGGATGTGAAAACACACAAAAACAACCAATCACTTCAAAGGTCACCCACCGGCAGAGATGACTAATAAACTCGTGGAGAAATCTAAAAGCTCACTTCCGTAAATTGAAGTATTCGCTGAAGATGTCGCCTAGTAGGGCGATGAAAGCTTAGCAAATTAACTATCCAGCTCAGAGAACACAACTACATCAAAATTGTCTATCTTGTTGACTTCATTACAAAGCTAACTGATACTAGGCAACTGATTGCAACTAGCACAGTAAGGCGTATTTGCAGGTTGGAAGGATATGATGCGTACTTGGAAGTTCGAGCTCACTCCATCCAGTCAGAAAGGCTACCATTGACCTACATGACCGCATGATTGATGTCCTCTTAGAGTGATCTCTGACAAAATTCAGTCGATAATCAAGACCAGACGCATCGTACTAGTTAACCCCTCCACTCCTAGTGGCCAATCAGAATAGATCTAGACTCTCTATTCTCGATACTTTCAACGCAGCAAACGCATCAATAAAATCGACCTTAGAATACGAATCAAACAGAAGACTAATTCATCCAAAGATCAATACACCACAAACCAAATGTGAACTGGAAAGTTGATCAAATTCTAGAACTTTGTCCCACTGATCCGAAAGGAAAACTTAGTACGTACCTTACGCTCAAGGATTAAAATGATTTGTTCGAAAGACACAACTGACAATGAATTGAAATCATTTCGCGAAGCCTTCTACTGGAGAGTGAGTATTCATTCAGACTTATAGACAAAAAATCGTGAAGGAAAAGCTTCCATCGCCGAAAATCACAACTTTTCTTACGAAAACTCCCTTCACGAACCGAGAATTTAACGGTAACAGTAATGCACAAATTCTTAGAAACCGTCTTTCTCATTGTTTGAAGAAGCTATTTCAGGCGGTCACCCTACAAATCATAACCTTCAGCAGACAATTAATCCAAAATTCTTCTTCTGGAGACCTTAGCCATATAAAAAAGGAACGCTCTGAATCTGTACATAGAATTTTTAACAAGGAGTGGATTAAAGTGGCATTCAGACACACCGACTAACTCAGGAACAAAAGGATCTTGTGGAGCGCATGAAAACAATAACTTATTCCAGTAATGGTTTCCATGGATTTGATTGGTTTCAAGATTTCATCACGAGTTGACATCGGTGAGAGAACCATTGTAAAACCAGCTGGGAGTACTGGACGGACGTTTCGTTCTAGTCTGGGGCACTTCAACAGTACGCACTCACCCGAAGTTCAAAGCCACGACCTCTCAGTTACAAGTCAAGCTTGCAGACCATTTAGCCGCTGAGACCCGATTCAATGGTCCATGAATTCCATCCTTTACTGATTTTAGAACGAATAGAACCAGCCGGTGTCATCCGTGACAATTATTCGCCCTCATTCCCGACTTCGACTTCTCAATAGTGCTCCAGGTAACTACGTCTAGTAGCCGGGTGCTAACGGGCATCCAAATAGTTTTCAAGAGTGACTTTGTAGGGCGCGTACTGCCGATAGGTCCGGAAACTAGGCAGGCGAAACAGCTGTCCAGTACTCCAGTACTGGGGTTTTCAGTGGCTCGCTAAATGATATCACCAGTGCCTGATCAAACTTGAAACAAACAGACTTTTGAAAAAAAATAACTATATATCGTATTTTAGACGATCAGTTAGCTGCCTTGATTCATACGTCTTTGATCAAAGTAGGACAAGGTAATAAATACTTGAGGAGTTGAATGGGAAGCATCTGCATTTTCCCACAATAATAAAGTACGGCTCTTCACCGTCAGTACCCTTCATCTTCTGAAAAGCTGACGGTAAACTAAGTTGTACTATCACTGGCAATAGAAGAGGAACATACATAATGACCATTAGAAAATAAAAAAAGGTTATAAGAAGAAAGAGGGATATCGTTGACAACACACGTACACACAAATCAAAAAATAATCTTATAAACTTACAAAATATCACCAGGAGAAATGGTAGGGTATTTAATGCAGCACTGAAATATAATAGTATCATTGTGTAATATTTCATATTGGCGAAGAATTGAATAACATCAACGGCTGGATCAAGTATACTGGTTGGATTGCCTGATGTTGTATCCGTGATATAAGGCAGCATCGGTACAATAAGTGGAGGTACTAAAAAGCCAACTGCTACACCAATCTGTATTATTTGACGAGTAAAAGAGTAGTATAAGTGAAAATTAAATAAATTTAGATGAATGCAAGAGAAATCTATTGATATTCAAATATCGGTTTGTAGAGGACTTCATCATGATGTGATATTAGTTACAGAATCATTGAGAAATCCTCTGGGAGTACTGGACAGCCAGCTGTTTCGTCCTAGTTTTGGCCTCTTCAGTAGTACATAGCCACACACTTCCAGGGTCTCAACCCAGGACCATTAAGCCACTGGGACCCAACCGAATGGCTAGCCCACGAACTCCAACATCTGCCAATTCATGACACAACCCCACCACTAGCCAATGTCATCCTTGGTGACGAGTATATCTTCTCATGCCCACCAACATGCTGTACCCTACTTGTTACGACTTCCTACTAGAACCTCAAGGTTCAAACTCCGACGGGTGCGCTACTGATGAAGAATCCGAAACTAGAACGAAACGCCTGTCCAAGACTCTCAACTGGTTTTCCAATGTTTCCCCAACCGACGTCGGCTCATGATGTAATCCTGAAACCAGAAATTATAGAGTTAGAATTAACAAAAACTAAACAAGTAGTATACTTCAGCCGTGTCATCGGGCAAAATACATTGTCACTGCATTCTGTTCTCCACAGTTAATTTCAGGTTCCGCAACGACTGACTTACAATCTTTCACTGCCTTCGCAAAGAGAATCTGCTCCACAACACCGTCGGACTTATACCTAACTGGTATTTTCGCATTCAGGCTGTAATTGAGAACCAACCTCAGCAGCATGATATTACTCAAAACGGCTGACACAACATGTCATATTTACATATTGATGGTTAATTTGTTGCCTGTTGGAGTTCCTTATTTTTCTAATCCCATCTGACTGGCCATCTAATCCTCACTATTAAAAGTTTAAAGCCTGTTGCTAATGTTTTTGATGACGGACGTCACAAATTTCTGAACGGTATAAAGACGTTAACTCGACATTTATGTTGGAGATTCAGATCTTTTTGCTAATGAGGGCTTGTCTTGCTTTTCTGATCGTATCTACGATAACCTTATCCATGCCACCTGTCTGAAGTTGAAACAACGCAATCTAGATAAGCGATAAAGTTGACTGTCTTCAAATTTCTTCTGTCGCCCGTGACTGATAGTTGTTACATTTGGTTAAGTGGCTCTGTCACCACTTCGTCATCTCTATAGTCCCATGAAATCATGTCTCCACTACCTGACTCTTCTTTCAACTTGTTGATTTTCGATTTAAGATCGTCGATTTTGTATAAAATTGTACACATACTCGTCGGAGAAGTTCAGATAACCTTTATCTTCGTCCAACATATACTTGTCTTCAAACTCACCATAGTATGTGCCATGATTAACCTCAAGGCATCGTTGAAGCGTCTATACTAACCAACGACATGTCAATAGATACTAACTGTCTCAATTTGATAGAAATCAATCAACGTTCCAAGTGGAACATAGCGAGAGTTTCAAGCTAGAGACTTGCAGTTTTGGTAGCAGTGGTGTTTATACTTTTTACAGAATGGAGGTTGCTAGTCTCAAGCTTTACCTTCCCAATCTACCAGTATTATTACTGGTCTTATTAGCGAGGTAAAAGAGTGCGTCGATCGGTGTTGACAATCAAACCCCAGACCACATGAGTGGTCGGTGAGCATTCTACCACTGTGCCACCGAAGAACCAACCAGTCAATGGGAATTACAAAATAACTTTGGCAAATAACGAATATTTCCCAGTGTTTGATCACTGAAACAATAGCACTGCAGATTTTGAAATAGATTCCCACTCACATGTAGGAGCAGTTTACTGGGCTAAACTAACAGACAATTGTGTACAGAAAATGTAAGATTCACCTTCCAAGAAAAGCCATAAAAGCAAGTCAATTGTGTTGCGATGGGGAGCCCTCTTGGGCTCCTATTAGCAGATATTTTCATGTCAAAATTAGAGAAAGAAATGCAAGGTATGCCTGGAGAATTTATGCTGTATAAACGTTATGTAGATGATGCTCTCATTATTGGTAATAATAGTAAATCTATTGAAAACTTTATTACTCTATTTATAATCATATTCATCCAAGTATCCAAGTGACTTCAGAACTAGAATCGAATAACAAACTGGGTTTCCTGGATATTACTATGACTAGGAGAGATGATGTAACGATTCAACGATCTATTTTACGTAAACCCGCATGAAGTGGACAATATCTTCATTTTACCAGTTTTGTTCCTATCCAGTATAAACGTTCCCTGGTAAGTGAAATGTTTGTTCTCAAGTGCCCGAAAAATATGCACAAGTGACACATTGATGGATGAGTTTCGACATATACATTCAGTTTTAAAAGCTAATGGTTATCCAGAGAACTTTATCATTTGTCACAATAAAGGAAAACCACATCTCGAAAAGACGGCTTCTGTACCAATGAAAGCTATCTTTATTAACCTACCATTCAAGGGTGACCAGATAGCTAGCTCAAAGACTTCGGTCAGCCATTAAGTGCACATTCTACGCCGCATCTCTTTTTCTCATTTGCCGAACATTTTCCATCCCTGTACCTACGATTAATAAAGGACAAAATTCTATGGACTCTACTTCAAACTGTATCTACAAGTTCACCTGCAGTTGTTTCGGTGACACTTATGTAGGTAGAACCAATAGAATTTTCCACTGTGGTCGTCGAAAAGAACATGTTCCAAAATGGCTACTAAATCATATAGAAAATCCCAACGCGATTAATCTGAATAGAAATCCAGCATCATCCATTGCAAAACATTTATTAATGTCAGGTCACAAAATCAATATTAATTAATGACTGTTTCACAGTTATTTCACATAACTCTAATTCAAGCTTGATTATTGAAGGTGATGGAAGCACTTTGGAGGATTAATCACATACAGTCTAAACTGTGTGTACAAAAACCAATAGAGTTCAATCTTCACCTACCATGGACAACATAACCTATCGAAATATGATTGGTCACTTGTATACACTTTTGTTTGTTTTTTATTTAACTGAGTAATTGTCATGAACTTTATTTTATTTTATTATTGTTAACCATGTTAGTTGTAAAACGGTTGTAAAGAAACTACGAAATGACGATATCATCTCGCGAAATTTGTCTTCTTCATGCCTTATTCAGACTATTGTTTATCTAGCAAAACCATCGAACAAAATGCTTTATATTTGCTTAGTGCATTATCTTAGTATCACATCACTTAGTTGACAGTAAGTAGAACACACTAAGTCAATAAAACATCAGAGTTTCTACTGTAACGAATAAAAGAAAAAAGCACTTCACGGATACTCCTTACTGATTGTCCACTAGAAGAATACAGTCTGATGCTAATGTGTACAAAAAAGAAGACGCTTACTAATCTACTACGTATCAGGGTTGATAATCACTGAAGGAAGGATGACGGGCATGGTTATGATGCAGATGATGGGTGATAACCTTTAGACAATCGACATAAGATCACAACCTTTCTTATTATAATGTTATTGTTTCCTTTGTTTTTGAGTGAAGCATGAACATCTATTCCACTTGGTTCTTAGTCTTAACTTTCAGCTTTTATTTTCTATCCAACTCTATATCATGCATCAAGCACCCAACCTATTGCATCCAATTCCGGTTGAAATTGAGAGATTGATGTGTGATCTCAACTGAATGTCTTCTCTCCGACGAAAGAATTCTATGATCTTTGAACGCCTATCTGTTCTTCACTATCGAACGATTTTAGATGATAATGAAAGTCTGGACTGACCAGTTTAAAACACTTTTTATGACTTTAGGTCAAATTACAGGGACACACTGACTGATTATTAAATGTATCACACAATGAAACAGTATTATTTACTGGATCACAAAGTTTCGAACGCAATTTATTGTTCATAATCATTTCATCAATTATAATCACACAACTTCGAAACTTGAGTTTCATAGTTTTCTTTGTTCTCTCCTATTTGTCGTCGTTGGGGTAGTAGAATTTCCCAAATATCTGTGACAGGTGTTTTTGATCATTCACAATTTTGATTAATTTCCCTAAAAATGTTCGAGGAGGAGTTTGAAAGTTTTCAGAAAGCATAAAATCTTTCATAGGAACTCATCAAGAGCCGACAATTATTAGAGAACAATCGGAAAGCCAGCACGGAGTATTGGGCAGCTAATGATCGCTGTGTGTCATGAACTGGCGGAAATTACAATTCATGAATTGGTCTTTGCAGCAAATCAAAGTGACTCCAAACTCTGCGAGCTCGCTTTGTAATCAAAAGGCCATAGATTCGAAATTCAGTGATGCATGCTGCCGTAGAGTGGAGAACTAGGATGGAAAAGCTGTTTGGCAGTACTTCTTACTGGTTCATCATTGGTTCTCTAACTATGGTGTCAACTCATGATGCAATCTTGTAACCGATGAAATCAAATCCCTTGTAACTAATACTTGCCGACTATATTATTTCATACACGTGCCTATTTTTCACGAGGCACCTAATTATTTTGACTCTATTCGATGAAATCTTGATCACAGTTCTCAAAAATCATGGAACATAATTTTTTATTGTTTCATTTTTTATTATAGCTTGATTCAACATAGTATTTTTGATGCAACTATGGAATTTTCAACATATGATATCGGTAGCCTAAATTTTGCAGGCCGATCATTGATATCAGGTGTGTGTGTCGGCCGGGGATCGAATTTCGGACCGTGTACACGGTCGGCGGTAGTCCTAAACACTGTGCCACCGACGCACATCTCTAAATGAAGGACCGTGAGGCCTCTCTACTGACAAAAACTACACGCCTGAGAGCGTCCGATTAGTGTCCGTCGTGAGTTTCAACCTACTGAAGTGCAATGGTGAGCCTCTACCCAGGGTCAGAGCACTCTTGATCACACTGAACCCGGAGACAACTGAATACAACAAATATAAACAATGAGTACGTTTATGAGAAAATTCTAAGAATTTGTTCCGAATACAGGTGGTAGTAGTGTGATGGTGTG